TAATCCTGGTCTTGTAGAAAAGTAGACATATTTCATTATAGATGTTTTTACTTAGAATTTTTCAATATGGAAATTATATTTCTGTGCAGAATATGACTGCCTGACATTTGATTTGTTATGGAGTTTCTGTTGGAATCTTCTTATCAAGTTGCTACTCTACACCCATCTACTATTGTGTGTGTATACACACATACACACAGAGCCATGCCTGTGGTGTTAGTTTCAAGGTCATTATTGTGCATGAATCTTCAAGATTGGGGCAAACTAGAAGATGCTCCATAGTTTGTTGTTACCAATATTGGCAGTTGGAATTATCATTGGTGGCATATCGCCCCATTTCTAAAAAAACTTGGCTCTACAGCAACTAACAGCTGGTTGATGGAAATTAGAATAAATGCTATTTTTAATTTTTTTTTTTTATCTCTTGGTTTACTACTGCTATTGTGCAGTTGGAAATTGAGAGTTAGCTATGTAACCACTAACTGGTCGGTTTCTTCCTTGTATTGTGACCCTGGCTAAGATTGACAGGGCTGTTTTGCATTAGAAATGTTCTGCTGTTTGATGAAACTCTTTTGAATGTCATTAAGGTATCAGATGTCTCTTTGACAATCAATAAATTATAAAAATATGTAAATAATAATGAAGAAAAGAAAACCATTTCAATTATTTTGAAGGTATAAAGAATTAATTTTCTTTTAAAAAGATACTTGCAGGTAATCAATAGTTTGCTTCTGAAGTTCTTAGCATTGTCTTTTAAACAATGTTAGAGAAATCTTAGAAGTGTTTTTTTTTAAGTTTACTCAACTCTATTACTTGTGCAATCATTTCAACTTTGAGTACATTCTTTGTCAGGATTTTTGAGATGGGGAATTATTACATTTTATAATTCAGACTAGGGTACTCATCTTCATTGTCCAAAGCCATGATCTAGTGGAATTAAGTGTTTGCTAAAATTTATCAGCTGAGAGTTCAGTCTGGTAGTGTCAAATATACCAAATAGATATCATTTGAGGAAATAGACAAGTAATTTGAATAATACTATTGAGTATTATTAACTAATGTGTTATAAGTAGAATAAAAAGAATCTTCTCCAGGAGGACCCAATAAAGGGTTCAGTTTGAAAGGGTTCAAGATTAATAAGTTCAAAGACATACACCTGATGAATGCCAGAGATCTTGGCTAAAGCATGAATAGAACAATCAAGATACACATGCTTGTCTAAAGAGAAAAGTATATGATACTTTAGCACATTGTCTTAAGCTTTAAAAAATTTCAAAAGGAAAAATAAATTTTCATATGAATTTATGAAAAATAACAGCAGTCAGGATTGGAACTTGTTTTCTTGCTCAACACATAAAAAAATAATTTTTAAACAATATAGTCACTGACTATTTAAAAACAAAATGAATTTGTTACAAGAATTCAAACTTAAAAACAATCAAGATGACTAGATGATGCAGGCCAGTGTCTCAGCCTGAATTTCATAGAAAATGTGTTCTCTGACAGGAATCAAAGCTGTATCCTACACAAAACCATCATATAGTCTAATGTGCTATACTATTTAGCTACTGAGAAAGCATCTGCTTAGCAAAGTTAAATTACTGTTTTCAAACAACAAATTTCCCATGATTTCTCTCGTATTTTCTATGAAATTTCTCAGACATTCATGTCAGTAAATGTTGTTAATACTGTTTATTATTAACAGAGCATTTACTTAAATATTTGTATCTATAAAAATGACATATAAACAGAAAATATATTGAAATAATTGTTGGATTTAGTCCATTTCATTTTATAAATATATATAAGTAAAACATTTTTGATTTCATGTATAATTTTGATTTCTGTTGAGAAAAAAATTAATAAACTTTTGTTTTGGTCATCTTCAAATCTAAATATTTTTTATCTCGTCTTCTAGTCTTGAAAAGATTTTTATTAAGTAAATTCCTAGTTGAATATTGTACAATACAATCGTTTAACAAGATACACCTTTTGGGCACCTTGACATGGTTTACTGGTTAACAAGCTTGGAGAAATTGAAAAGCTGAGTTTGAATTTGTCGAGTTCATTACATTCATTTACAAATATCCTTAGGACACTTCAATGTTTTTTAAGGTTTAGCAAGCTTGTCTCGCTAGAACATTTACAACTGAATAGTGAATTTGATCCTTACTGACTACTCCATAATTTCAGCCTTATACCACATATAAACTACACTTAAAAAATCACCACTTAACAAGATACACAAACACCTAAGCTAATTAACTTAAAGAGAAACTAAAATGTTGACTCTTCCATTGAAAGAATTTAAAAGTCTAATTTTTTTTGTCTCTCATATTTTATTGCTTCTTTTAACCGTTCATGTCATCTTGCAGCTGTGACTGTTTTTGATTAATGATGTCATTTTTTGCCTCTCTTTTTACAGAACGTTAATAATTGCAATGGCCTGTATGTCTTAGAAACCAATTGACTATGAATTTGGTGCTCCATAAACATGACCTTGTATCAATTTTAGCTTAACGATAGAAATCTAATCATTTGTTGAATATCATTAGAAAATTGGGTTCTTGAGACAGCAGCAGGCTTAGAGAAAATGAGTTTTCCATTCACGATCTCTACAGTGTGTGTATGTGTGTGAGTACATGGTGGGTGTAGGCACTGAGTAATTTGTTTGTTTTTTTGCCTCTTTCCATCACCAATCAGAAACTAGGTATTTACTCTGTCTCCCCACTAAGACAAGTTGTGACACAAGGTCTTTTTTTAAGGTGGGGACCTGAGTGCATACACCCGGGCCAGGAACAAAAATTGCCTGCAGCTCCTGCAGTCATTGGTTGTGCTGGCCTCAGTGCAAGCACCAGTCCCACTCTCTGGTGGAATGAGAGGGTGTGGCCTCAGGCAAGCTGTTCCCCAGAGTTGGACACCTCTCACTATAATTTTCCTCAGTTGTGACTCTGTTCTTTGACAGAGTGGCCCTTGAGGGCACTCTGCCCAAGGACAGACGCCACTGAGAGATGATAAATAATGTGTTACAAACTACTTGAGAGGCCAATCAGAAACTATAGTCATAGGGAAGGCTAACTTTTGCACAGTTTTTATTCCCTCTACCCCTTCATGGTGAGGTGTTAGATTGTTGAGTTGGAAGTTGACCTCTGTGATTGTGCATGTCATGATTACTCAGCTGTCGTGAAACAAATATATTAAAAAAAGGATGATAACAATTATCTAAACATAAAAGATGTATCATATTGTTTACTTTCTTTCTTGTGAAAGAAGCATTTTTTTATCATTTAAAATGTTTTAAGACAATTGAAAAAAGTTTATATTTTTATAAATATAGTTAAATTTACTTCAAAATAAATTTTAATATGATTAATTTTTACAAACAAAAATATTTACATAAAAAACCTCTGCAAATATAAATTTTTAACTAAAAACGTTTTGCCTTTCTACATAAAAAAAAAAAAATCTTGTTTTTATCAAATGATCACACTGTAGAAGAATTTTTCAGAATTTTGTATTTTTAAACCAGAGTTGGATTCTATAAAAGCCATAATGTTTATTGGTTTTGTCCTCTCTCTATATATAAAATTCAGTGATCTTTATCTCTCTTCAAATCTCCAGCCTGCAGTTAAACAGGTTTGCCACATATTGAGAGTCCAGCTGGTAAAATTAGCTTTGGAATTCTAATTTTAGACAAACTTATTTATTAATTTAACATTAGTAATTATATTTCCAAATCACACACTAAAAAGAACTCATTAAAAAGAATGATATTAAAAAATTAATTAGAATGATACTAAATTTTACTTTTGTTGAATTTTTAGTGCAAGGCATCCATGTGAATAAAAGTTTGTGTATAAACTCAAATATTCATATTCTGAACCGAATGTTTAGGAATGGAAATTAGATAATTTTGAAAAAAAATTCAATTTTTTAATATTCTTGGAAAACATCTGTCATTCATTTTATTTTTAAAAAAAATACCAAAAATTTAACTATTAACACTAACAATTTTTTCTTTTTCTGCTTTTTTTTTTTTTTCTTTTCTATTATAAAAAATTAGCAGAAATTCAAATATGAAAACTGATAATCTTTTAAACACTATATTGAATTGATCATGTGAAAAAGAATATTTTTTATAAAAGGTGAAATCTTAGTAATGTTTGCAATCTTTTTGGGGTGAATGACCATATGTAATGAAAGTAGTTAGGATGAAGGGTTCTGTCTATTTTTTTTTTTTTTTATAATAGAAAACAATATAATAGAATGAAAGGAATCTACACAATATGTCTCAGATTCCCCAATCAAGCTACTGAATTTCTGAGAACCAAATATAACCATTTTATATTTATTAATAATTTTCTTAGAAAATAAGGTCACAGATAATTTGTGTTGGAGATTTTTAGTATGATGAATGACACAAGAGAAAGATATTAGTCTGAATAGAAATGTGTGTGGTTAGGTTGGAGATATTGTTGTCTTTTATATTATCTACATCTGGGCTTACAACCATATCTAATTGAAACCCCAGTCCTCATATGATCACTGAAGTTAAACTACCTCAAGCCTGATGTATCAGTTAATCATTATTGTCTCCAAAAATTCTTAACATCTAAAAATATTTTCTGACTTTAAATAACCTGCAAATGGTTGATAAACCATAAAAAAATAATCATTCTTATCTACATCCATTCAGTTTATTTCACTTAGGAGTTAAACTTTTATTTCATGCCCTAAACTGTATTAAAAATTCCCTATATTAGTAAAAGTAGACATTGCTTCAGTGCATATCAATTCATATGAACTTATTCATTTCTACTTTGTGCCAGATGATTTAAAAATTCTTTTCATTATAATTTTTTGTGGAGTGGGAGATATAAATAAACTGATACTCTTGAAGACTCTTGCACTAATATGAACCAAAATGCTGTTATTTCAGAAATTTCTTTCTCTCTGTTACAACATTTGTTTTTCTGATATTTTTTCCACTTTCATTTCAGGGAGACTTAGCCAAAAAGAAAATCTATCCCACATTATGGTATGTACAGGTTTTTCCCTTCTAAAAACACAAACATCAATCTACTCTTAATTTTTCTGGATTCATCAAATAGCCATCAGTTTTGTATTTTTTTTTCTTTAAATTACAAGCTTTTGTCATTCCATTTTTTTGGTTTATTGAACTCATTCTGTGTCGTTTTTGTTTTCATTCATAACATATCAGCCAAGTCATTCAACAGCCTACTCAGGTGGAAAATTTACACGGAGAGTATATAATGTCTTTGAATTTTTAAGAAAATAGTGGTAAAACATTATGATGACAACAAAAGCAACACAAATAATGTGTTCAATAGCCTTTAACAAATATGGGAATCAGCATTTGAAATGTTAGGAATTTGAAGAATCAGTATACAGTCCAGACCTTCATTAAACCTATAAGACCACATTGATGGAATTTGTTTGTAAAATAAGCTTGTGAATCACTATGCTATACCATGTTCTTTCAAGTTTGTCTTCAAATTTTGCATCCAAAATAATTGCTTGTTGTTCATTCAACTCCTGTTGTCTTTGTAAAATGTTATTTGTTACTATTACTAGTTTCTTTCATGTGTTAAATGTTCACTTTCAACTTTTCCTGTGTGATTTTATTATATAGTTTGTGTATTTCTCTGTATAGATCTGAATACATGGTTAAAAATTGTTAGTTACTAAGTTCTGACTTAGTGATATTCTTTGCCACATGTTTGTTCAATGATTCTAAACTTATGGGAAAAAGCCCTTTCTTCGCTGTAATCAGTTTAGCCATTGTAAATTCTATTATAAATTATAAATATCTATTGTCATAGATCAGAATTGATTGAACACTTAAATTCCCATTCTGTATCTAATATTAGATTGTTGACATTTTGGCTAATTTGGAGGAGATGGACATTTGTGTCTGAAAAATTACAAACAACCAAGTAAAATGTTTTGCAAATATAAGTATTTTAGATTTTTTTTTAACCCTTTTGTATCTGGTTTTTGACCAGGTTTGTGTATGTATGTGTGTGTGTGTGTATGTATGTATGTATATATATATATATATATATATATATATATATATATATATATATATATTACATACATGCACACATACAGGGTGCAATAGATAAATTGTCATCTAAGTTACACAAAAATGAAAATAACACTGACATCGCATTTTAAGATATATTTACCAAAATTACACAAAAATACTTTAAAATACTAATGAGTAAATTTATTCAATTAAATTGCTATTGCCTTCAACCAAAACCTGCAGATGACTTCGGAATCTCCTGCAACTCTTCCAGAGAGTCTCCTTGTTTATGTTGGTGAAAGCTGCCATAATCCTTGCCTTCAGTTGATCTTTGGTGTTACAAGGAATTTTGTTGATCTTTCACTCAACTGCACCCCACACATAATAATCAAGGGGTTTGCAATCTGGGGAGTTAGGTGGCCAGATGTAAGGGTTGATGTGGTCGCAGAAATTGTCTGACATTCATGACTGGGTTCTCCTGTTTGTGTGTCATGGTGCAAAGTCCTGTTGCCAGACATAGGATCTTCCAGCAGCCACTCTCTTGACCCAGGGCAGCACTATCTTCTCAAGGCACTTGATATAGTCCTCTGTGTTAAGTCTGTGGTCCTCACTAAGAAATTCAGGAATTCTTTTTCAGAATGATCAGAGTGAGTTTTCTGAGCTGACGTACCTTCATAATCACCATTTGACTCCTCCAACACTTTCCAAATTCTCTGCACTGTCGTCAGATTGACACCCAAACACTCTGAAATGTTTATATTGGAGCTTCCAGTGAAAATGCCAAGCAGTACAGTATTGCCATTTCCAAATTTCTGGTGGAATGAATTGTGTCATGGCGTTCTTTTTCTCACAGATGGTGCCCATCTGACTCTACTATTCTGTACAGTCAACAAAACCAACACACATACGCAAAATTAAAAATATAAAATGGTGACAATTTACCCATTGCAGTGTGTGTCTATATATATATATATATATATATATATATATGTGTGTGTGTGTCTTCATACTGATTGTTTGCTAATAGTTGGTCAAAGGTTCAGTGTTCACCATGTTTTTTTTTTTGTTTATCTGCTGATTATCTGCAAAACTTTTCAATGACCCTTCTGTGAAAATGTGGGTTATGTCCCAGTAATTTACTAAATTTTCAGTTGGCTCCACCAGTTTTTTTTTCTAGTTGAGAAATATTTCATATTAAAACAATCATCTGAGATATATGGAAACTCAAAAATTGCAATCTTATGTTTACTGGCAGCTCTGCGATAATGTATTAAATAAGAGTATGTTTTCCATTCCTCCTCTCTTCAATCAATATGAGGTGTTAACATCTTCTGCTGATGAAGCAGAATGTTTTGCTCATAAATTCTCTTTAAACTCCACTCTTGATTCATCCGAAGCATTCTTGCCTAACTTTCCACTTAGAACTGAGCCTCTATTGAGTGATGTACTCCTTCCATGATTTCTGATATCATCCCTAATCTGGATCCTCCACAAAACATGTGGATCTGATTGCATTCCTGTAAGAAATGTGCTCCAGAACTGGCTCCTGTACAATAAATGCCATGCTACATCTTGCTTTCCTGCTTGTTGGAAATCCTCCTCTGTTGTCTAAGAACTCAGGTGAACTGTCTAACCCTTTGAATGATTGTCCTATTAGCCTTCTATGTCTTTTTGGCAAACTACTAAAGGCCCTAAACAATTCTGGATTGGTTAAGCATCTCACATCACAGGGCCTTCTTTCAGACAAGACATGGCTTTCACTTCTCTAGGTCAACTGCTGATGTACTAATAATTATTGCTGAAAGAGTATATCAAGCTTTAGATAATAATGGGGAAACTCAGACTTTGGACATCTTGAAAGTGTTTGACAGGGGTTGGAATACTAGTTACCTTTACAAGTTGAAAGGCTGTGGTATTTCCAGACAAATTTCTGAATTGATTCAGTCTTATTGAATCGTGAAATGAAAGTTGTCCTGAATGGCCACACTTCTAGATCTTTTTGTACTAAATACAGGTGTTCTTCAAGGATCTATCCTTGTACCTACTTTGTTCTTAATTTTCATCAATGACCTTCCTGATAACATCAATCCTCAACTTTATATCTTTGCTGATGACACAACCATTTACTCCTGTCTCAATAGTAACGTCAAATTGGCAGTTGATCTAAAAAATGACCTACAATCTTTTGCTGTTATCTGGGACTAGGTTTGGTATGTTAACTTTATTGGCTCCAAAACAAAACTTATATTAATCATTTGAAAGCCCCTTTTCTACCTCCCATCAAACATGGCTGATGCTAACCTCCAGGAGAGTGACTTCTTGTGCCTTCGTGGACTAACATTCTTGGCTGACACAAAGTGGAAAGATTATATTGAATACATTGCTAGATCTGCTACTAAGAACGCTGGTTCGCAGTATCATACTAGGTCATTTTTCTATTCAGAATCTATCTTACGTATTTATATGTTACCCATTCAGTCATTTTTGAATATTGCTGCCACATATCGTCTGCTGCTCCTGCTGTATATTTAGAGGTTCTTGATAAAGTCCAAAGAAGAATCAGCAATATTATTGGTCCTGACCTGGTGTCTCAGCTTCACTCACTTTCCTACATCTATAACATAGCTTCCCTGCACCTTTACTGTAAATACTTTGATGGTAATTGTTCAGATGAACTTGTCACTATGGTGTCTAGACTTGAGGAATTTAAGTGCAGTACTAGATTGGCAGCTAGGTCTCATCATTTTACACTTGAAGTGGCTATATGTACCATAAGTTCTATGCTAACAGTTTCTTTTCTCTCACTTCTCACTTGTGGAACTTTTCTGGCTCCATGCTTTTCAGTGTACTTTGATCTTCCAAAATTTAAATGCAATGTCAATCGTTATCTACTATCTTCTTGATTCCACTTTTATTGTTCTCACTCCTTAACGATTCTTCTTTTTTTGTTTCTTATTTTTCACATTCAGTAACATCTTGTGTCTTAGTGGCATTACTGCCTTGCATAGGGTGAGATGATGATTAAAAACAAAAAAGTTATCACCTCTGCATCATATCTACATCTGAACTGATTTTCATTCAGTTTTTAATGTTGATGTCATTGGTAGATATATACACTCTTCGAGTGCTTTCAATTTCCTTGTTTAATCATTGAAAAAAATATATATACGTGTGGACTCCTTTGTAAATCACTAGCAGGTTTTAAATGCCACTTAAGATTATCGCACAAACTTTCATAACTGAGTCAATAAGCTGTCAGATCCTCATACGTCGAAACCAATGGGAGAGTCCATTATATATATATATATATATATAATAATGGACTCTCCCGTTGGTTTTTTTTTTTTTTTTTCAACATCATCACTTGATAAGACACAGTGTGTTGAAACAAAATGGCTATTTTTGTAGTGATTTTATAACATACTTATGTTATAATTTTTTTTATAAAAAATAATTATATATATATATATATATATATTTATCCCAAACAAGGCAATAAAACCATTAAAACATAAGCGTTCACTGGGTGTGAGAGAATATGAGAAAAAGAAAAAAAAACATTAAGGAAAGAGAACAATAAAAGAACAGTAATTAAGACAGAAGATAACGATTGATGTTGCATTTAAATTTTTGAAGATCAAAGTTGACTGGAAAGCAAGAGGCTGGAAGAGGGCTCCACAAATGAGAAATGTGAGAGAAGAAACTGTTAGCATAATACTTATGTCTACAACTAGCCATTTCAACTATAAAATGATTAGACCTGGCTCATATAATCATTATTAATATTTCTATCTATGAAATGCAAATTCAGATTATTTTATATATCTTATTTATCTTTGTTACTTTTAAACAAAACTCTGAGGTTATTACAAGACTGTTAAATAGTCTGGATTATACACAATGTATAAACCTCCAGTGAGAATTGAATTTTGGTCAGAATAAATGTAAAAATGAGTTTCAATAAAAAGCAAAATTGAAAGAAACTG